ATGTAGGAGGAGGTAACAGTACGGATATAATATAATTATGTCAACAATTCTCCGCCGACTCTTACATGATACATTTCATGTCTATTTTCTGTTTCTTTTACGGGCCCCCGAAGTCTGGTGGCGTTCACCATACACCCGGTCAAGATTTCATGCTATTTCGTAAACTCAGGGCCCACTATAACCTTACGGTTCTGGGATTTGTGCCTGTGGTGTTATCCGAACAGTGGCCTTTTGGGTCACAGAGTGTTATTCGCTCATAATGCGGCTCAAGTAGGGTTCAACTTACTCGCAAGGGCGTTTAGTGTACAATATTTTATTGCATAATTCATTAATTTGATTACAGTCCGGTAAAAACACCAAAGTCAAGGACACTTTCACGCATTGAGCTTACAGTTGCTAAGCCTAGATCTTTACAACTCAATCAGACTCGATGAGTGACGTGGTTAACATCATTTTACTTTCCATTACATTACCTGGTGCACCGCATCTGACTTGGTCGGGTATCAATAGTATTTTAAAACGTGTCTATTTCTACAAATGTCCCCATTTGGATGTGTCGGCCGAAAGACACAAATATCGCAGCTTTGTTGTCAACATCCATGCACAATGCCGTCACCGAAGAAGAAATCTCAACTAACAACAGAAGTAGAGGATCAATTGTAATTACACCATTAAATAGTATTTTTCAAGATCTATTCCATTATGATGGAAATATTTAATTTGTACGTATAATTATTAATTTTTAAACTTGTTTAATAATATTAAACGCGCCCATATCGACCAGTCTAAAATAGGTTAACTAGGAAATTCCGCCCGGCTCGCTAGCGTAGTTGGCTAAACCGGATTGCGCGGTGACCGGGTGACAAACTCCTTGTGGTCCAGGTTCACGCCCCGGGGTAGGCAGAAAAGCCACATTTCTCGCAGATTTACGGTATTTATCATGGAATTAAAGCCGAAGGGTTGCGATATCCATAATACCGAGCCTAACGGTTAACAACTCATGGCTTCTGGATACTAAAAAATGGAAATTCCTGGTAAGTCTGGTAAGTAAAAGTGGCCGGGTGATATCACATATCGAGTGTCAATTTACGTATTTAAATTTTAAAAATCTGGGACTAAGCCGTATGTCCGATTTATTAAAAAAGGCGTGTAAACTAGGCATTTATTTACTAAATATCAGTAATGAGGTGAAAACACAAAACGTATATCTTACCGTGTTCCACAGAAGTCGACTTAAGTATCCGAAAAGGAATCGGTAGTATCCACAATTATCCAACACACTATGGATACTCTGAGGTTCCGCGTGAAAAAAAAATTACTTGAAACCTCACATGGAAGACAGCTATTTGATAAAATATAACTCCGAAATAATAATCCGATAATTAAAAATAACTGCAATTGGTAATCCGCCTGTATATGATTAAGCCGTTAATTTGGAAAGAATATCGCCGAAGAAGATTTTATGTTTCAATGCACAAAAACTAAAGGCACCATAAGTAAGCCCAAATCTTTAAATTTCGTGTACGAAATTATTCAGTCAGCAGTATTTATCCAGCAGCAGTAAACAAATTCAGAAAGACCTGCAGTTCTGTTCTCTAAATATACAGCAGTATTCTAACCACGGTTATTTTAAAATGATAAATATAACACTCGCCTACCAAATGAGAATCTGTTATCTCAGGAATTATGGTCGCCAGTGCAAATGGCACATTTATATTATTTCCAAAACAGCAAATAATTTAAGTTAGGAGGTTTAATAAAATGCTACGCGATGTTTAGCATGAAGAGAAAACACAGGCACGATATTATTGATAATCACTGCAAGCTAAATCAGAACTTGCGATGGAGAAAAAAAATATCCAAACGACGCAGTTCTGAAACATCCAGTTTTACATTTGAGCTGCAACGTTCATTTTTCTCTTTTTTTGCGTAACCTTAGCTTAGTGCAACACGTTATCGGCGTGTAAATTCTTGTTATCGATAACTAACATTGAACAGTGACGCGTATGTTCAGTTCCTAGAGCACGACTATTGTTTTTGCTGGTCGTATCCATTCACAAAGCAGGAGGTTTTCGCAACACAATTCTCCCAGTGTCATAAAACGAAAAATCTCACAGCAAAGTTAGTCACTGATTCCCTACAGCCAGGCCCGCCGTGAATGGGTTGGCAAAACGGAGTCTCGAATCAGCCTGGCGGAGGGATACAGTCTTGAATACATTATCGGTCATGGTCGAAGATATGAATGAAACGCGCGGCTCGCGCTGGCTGGCACGCTACTGTGTGTGACGTAGCAGTGCGTGCTGGCACACAGGAACTTGATGTGTTTGCTTTTCAAAATTCACAAATCACTCTACTTACCTAAACAGTGCGTCTATTTTCAAACCCTTCCACGAACAGTCAATACAATTTTTTTTTAATATCCTGCAATTAAAACAACATAACGGCTAAGCTCTCCATTTGTTTTTAAGAACTATTTTTTCTCTCTCCACTGAACGAATTGCCTTCTTAGCATATTTCATATGAATGAGTGTCACGTGACATTACCGCATTAATCATGGCGTCGAGTCCCAATTACAAATGTACCTATCGAGTGACCTTTGCGGTTCATGGGTCCTATCTGGCACTCCCTCCTTCCTCGCTTCCAATTTTTTTTTTTTTTATGAGCGAGGGAGAAGTGAAATCTTGAACAAACAATAGTGGTTTTCTTGATAGCGCCTATAATTTGTTAAGGTAATTTATTTAAACTGACTACTTTGTCGCGGGGTCTTATTCGTCTGAGGGGTATACAATAGGAGCCGTGTTGTTGACATGTTTTCCAATGTTATCCTGTAGAATCGCTTACATAGGCTATGGATCGTTTTAACTAGGCTTTTGTCAAGGCTTCTGTGGGAGATTCGTGTCAACGGGTGAACTTGTATCGCTGAATTAATCTCTCTTTCTGTGGTTGTTGATTTGAAGTAATAAATGTCTTCTGTGGAAGGTATGAGATAAATAAATGAGGTTGTTATCGTGTGCCATGCCGATGAGTGTGGGTGGTTAGCGTTCAGGAATGATACAATCCACACCCGAGGATCTCTTCTTCCCAGCATTCACCGGCTGTAAACTCAGACATTTTTGGTTGTTCGTCCACTTGTGGGTTTTAGTCTTTGTCCAGAACGTGAGTTTTGCGTGCGCACCCAGTAACAGATCTGGTTAATTTGTATGAATACTGTTGATTCCTTACCTTTCACTCAAGTGCACTCAGGCTGAAAAAAAAAAGGGGGGGGGGGGGGGGACATACATATTACAACATACTTGTCGGTCGGAGGGGGGGGGGGGAAGAGGTGGGTAAGTGGGTCTATTCCTTTTCCACCAACATCGGACTTTAAGAAAAAAACATTGACTTTCAGATCGACTTAGCCTTCAGTGGGTACCAGGTAGAAACCTGGGAAGTAAAGGCGACCGAAGGACCCCTATTCCGTTGTATCCTTTCGATTTTTAGGTGAAATCCAGCCCAGCACTTTCGGCCTTTTTCTCTATCTATCTATCTATCTATCTATCTATCTATCTATCTATCTATCTATCTATCTATCTATCTATCTATCTATCTATCTATCTATCTATCTATCTATCTATCTATCTATCTGTCTGTCTGTCTGTCTGTCTGTCTGTCTGTCTGTCTGTCTGTCTGTCTGTCTGTCTGTCTGTCTGTCTGTCTGTCTGTCTGTCTGTCTGTCTGTCTGTCTGTCTGTCTGTCTGTCTGTCTGTCTGTCTGTCTGTCTGTCTGTCTGTCTGTCTGTCTGTCTGTCTGTCTGTCTGTCTATCTATCTATCTATCTCAGCAACGTTCGTCTTAGTGTGTCCCTAAGGAGTCCTTGTGTCCCTTTCAATTTGTTTCCCATCTCAGTGCCTGTTGAGCGATTCTCTGTCCACTCCTTACGATGTGCCTATGTCTATATCGTGGCCTTCCCTTTCTGTGTAAATGTTGATATACAACTTTTGTGCTGGCATTTCTCTCATTTCAGCTGTGTTTTCGTCTGTGGCGTATGTGTTGCCAATACGCTTCCTTGCTAAAGGGGTATCGAATTCGATCCTGCAGACGATTTGACAGCAAACCGTCTCGCGTTGATTTCGTTTGTGCTATGGAGAGCCGAACGAATTCACGGCCACCAAAAAAAAAAAAAAATGCTTGAGTTGGTTCTGCCACATCAAGTGGTAAAGCGGTCAACCCTTTTACCCCGCTAATCTAAAGTCGTGGGTTCGTATCGCGGCTGCGTCGTTCAATTTACGAGTATTTCTTTTAGAGAGACGCCTGGGAACCGTCGCCGGAGCTACCGAGTTCATACTTTGTGCGAACCTCTCGGCAGGCGGCTCGTTGTACTACATATAGAGATCAACCCATTTAGGATACACCCGGTGCAACGGCGTCGATCCTCTTACCTCCTACCGCTTATCTTTACCCTTTTTTTTTCTCTCAGTCATTTGTATGATGTGAATAAGTGCCCGAGACAGCAGACTATAGATTTCCGGACTATCCTGATTAGAACATTTTAATACAAACCTGATCTGGAGAAACAGCAGTCAGGGATCTTTAAAAAAAAATAGAACAGTGTACTTTATACAGGACACAAAGTTGTAGGTTACGACAATTTGTTCAATGCTCGGGTAAATGCGGTGAAAAAGGAGAAGAAAAATAAGCGGGAAGAGAGGGGTCCTAATGGAGCAATGATGCGCAATACAAGACTCTTAATGTCTATTAGCCTCTCTTGCTCAAGCCTACCTCACCTTCACGTGGTGGACCCTGTTCTTCCCAGCAATCCAGTTGAAGGTTGGGGTCTCAACCCCCAGCGGGAAACTGGATGGGACAACAAACGAGGTAAAGGCGAAAGACGAATGGATGAGCCTACTCTCCTCGAGTATGATCACAGTCTACCCTAGTAAAACAAGGTGCTGAAGTCGGAGTCAACCAGCCAAGAGGCGCACCACAGCAATCAGGATGCCACGCATACACGCCATGGAAATATGTCTATATCAGCAAAACGTTATGGTGCTCGCCCTGAGATGGACTCTCAGGCAGGAGCAGTGCCAAGCCCTCTGCCTCGAAGAGGTCCAACCCAAATTACTGGAGGTCCTTCTCAAATGTCCTGTGGAGTCAGGGGACGTGAGAATAGAGCATCTGGCCGAACTAAGAAAGGAGTCAAATTAATGCACTGGAATGCAGAGGGGATTACAAATAAAAAGCTAGAGTTAGAAAATATTCTAAATGAGGAACAGATTCAAATATGCTGTCTACAGGAAACCCACCTCACTGAAGACACAGTCTTCAAAATCAGAGGTTATCAGTGCTTCCGATCAGACCGGAAAGGCAGGAAAAAGGGTGGAATATTGACTCTTGTGAGGAACAATATCACTGCCTGCCAGACTGAAGTATATATGGATGGAGCAGAATATCAGATTCTGAAACTACAAACTGGAAATGCAGACTTCTACCTGATCAATTATTACTGCCCAAGTGATCGTCCCCAGGCTTTGGACACAATCCCAGTGGAAGAAAAGATGATTCTATGTGGAGACTTTAACAGCCACTCACAAAGCTGGGGATATGACCATATAGACCAGAGAGGAGAGAAACTGGAGGAGTGGCAGGATGAGAACAGATTTATTCTTATTAATAGGCCAACTGATCCACCCACATTCTACTCGAGGTCGTGGCACGCCACTACTACCCCAGACCTAGCATTTCACTCTCCAGATCTGGAATGGATCATTAAACGAGTTGTTGGAAATCAACTGGGAGGCAGTGACCATCGACCGGTCTTCCTGAATATAGAAAATGAGAAGGTCAGAGAAACTAGTACGCTGCCAAGGTGGAACTACAAGAAGGCTGACTGGACAATGTTCAAGCACCGTACCAGTATACTGCTTGGAAGTCTCAGCGTAGACCAGGATATAAACAAAGTAGTTAAAGAATTTAACAAATGCGTACAGGAGAATCAATACCAAGAGGTGCCCGTAAGCATTATAAGCCATACTGGAGTAATGAGCTAGAAAATTTACATAACGAAGTAGAAACATCCAGAAAGATAGCAGAGACCAGGCCAAACCAAGAACATCACAATAACTACCAGCATGCAAAAGCAAAACTTGTAAGGGCAAAGCTGCAGGTTAAAAGGGAAAGCTGGCAGGAGAAAACAAGGTCGCTGAACTTTGAAAAAGACACAAGAAAGTTATGGAAGCTTGTGAAACAAATTAATGATGAGGACACAGGGTGGAACTCAAAGATCACGCTGCAGAAAGATGGAAACATGGTCACAGGAAAAGAGGCAGCCAACCTATTTGCGGACACTTTTGCTTTAGATAACGACATTGAAATCAGTTCAGAGACAAAACACGAAATTCAAGAAAAGACACAATTTAGAAGTCAGAAAGAAATAACATCAGAGGCGCTAGAGGTGCCAATTACACTTAATGAACTGGAGTTGGCCATTTCAAAGCTGAAAATGCGGAAGTCACCAAGAGCAGATGGTATATCAAACGAAATGATCAGAAACTTAGGAAAAGTAGCCAAAACAAAGCTTTTACAGATATTTAATGCTTGCTGGGCAACAGGGAATGTTCCACAGATCTGGAGAGAGGCAATTATGATACCCATAAAGCCTGGGAAAGACAGTTCTAATGCCTCCAACTACAGACCAATCAGCCTCACAAGTTGTCTCTGTAAAACAATGGAGCGCATCACCAACCTCAGACTACAGTGGTACATTGAAAGTGAAAACATCATTACACCACAGCAGGCGGGCTTTAGAAAGTTCTATTCTACGGAAGACCAGACAACATACCTCTCCCAAGAAATAGAGGAAGCTTTTCAAGATAAGAAACTGGTACTCGCGGCATGGATAGATTTAAGGAAAGCTTTTGATAAGGTTTGGAAGGAGGGGCTTTTGAAGAAATTGAGAAACTATAAAATAAATGGAAAAATGTACAATTGGATTAAAGCATATCTACATAACAGAAGAGCCCGGGTACAGGTAGATGGTTTTAAAAGTAAAAAAGTTCTACTGCGACAAGGCGTCTCTCAAGGTGGTGTCCTGTCGCCCACACTTTTCCTTTTATTTATCAACGATCTGGTTGCTGAGATACCAAATGGAATCAAAATGGCAATGTATGCCGACGACCTGGTACTGTGGTGCACCAATGAACATGCAACGATAGCCACAAAAACACTACAGCGGGCTACAAATGCACTTGAGGCATGGGCCAATAGATGGTGTGTCAGCATCAACACAGACAAATGTAGCACCACACTATACCTCTGAGAGATGATAAAGAGCCCACATACCTAGGAGTCACATTTGATGACAGGTTGACATGGAGAAAACATATCAACAAGGCTGCAACCAAAGCCAGGAGGAAGACAGCAATACTAAGAAAATTAAGTGGAACCACATGGGGAGCAGATGGAAAAATACTCAATAAAGTATACAAGCACAGCATACTTCCACACTTGGAATATGGGTCAACTGCATGGTATTCAGCATCTAGTACCACATTAAAGGAGTTAGACAAAGTGCAAAATCAAGCGCTCAGAGTCATCACAGGAGGGATGAAATCAACCCCCATATTAGAAATGGAGAAAGCTGGGAAAACACAGGCACTGAGAGAACGCAGAGATACAAAGTTGCAAATACAAGCTGAAAAGTTCCTCAGTATGCCAGATCACCCGATGGAAAATAGATTTAAGAACCTAGCCTTGGGACGGTTAAAAAGAAGCAGCTTTATACACCAAGCAAAAAGAATATGTAGACAAACTCCTGACCTTCCAGAAATTGGTTGCCCACTTAAAAGTATTCCGGAACAAACCCCATGGAGAGAAAAATGTAAACTAACGGTACAAATCCAGACAAATGTGAAAGGGATATTTGACAAGAAAGAGCAAGATAGTGTACAACGCAAAATGGCCACCCTCAGTTATATTGATGAAGAATACCCACAAGAACAATGGGTCAGAGTCTATACAGATGGGTCCGCAGAAAGTGCAGTTAGAAATGGTGGTGCTGGAGTGTACATCGAATTCCCAGATGGTACTAGGGATAAGTCCAGCGTACCAACCGGGAAGTACTGCCATAACTACGATGCAGAAACCCAGGCTATTAAGATAGCCACATAAAAACTGCTAAATACCAACCTTGGCTCACAGTATGTGGTAATGCTTACAGATGCTAAATCAGTACTTGAAGCACTCCAGTCTAGGAAACTACCAGAATTGCAAACACTGCTGACACAACTCAGCGTTCAGCGAAGAGTCGTAATGCAGTGGATACCGTCTCATTGTGGAGTGCCTGGAAATGAGAAAGCTGATCAACTGGCAGGGGAAGGTGCGAAAAAAGAGCAGCCAGATGTACCAGTCACATACCACCGAAAGAAAAGAATAATTAAATCGATCAGGAAACCACCAGCCCCAGCACAAGACGACTATTTTATTATGGACAGACCAGAACAAGTCATTATCTTCCGCCTCAGAACAGGGCACAACCGATTACGTAACCACATGTACACAAAATTCAAGATAGGTGTATCAGCCATGTGCACCTGTGGAAATGTGCCCCAGACCGCAGAGCATGTACTCCAGGACTGCACCGATTTTGACACATTAAGGCAAACCTTTTGGCCAGAAAGAACAACAGTGGAACGAAAACTCTATGAACCACTGAATGAACTAACAACGACAGTGAAATTTATACAAGAGACAAAACTGCTGATATAGATAACTTATTTCAGGCGAACGAAAGAAGAAGAAGAAGAAGAAGAAGCGGGAAGAGGAAGGAGGAAAGAAAAAAGATAACGAAGAAAAAGAAGAGCAAAGAAGAAGAAGGGGGTTGGGGGGGGGGAGAAGAAAAGCAGGAGAAATAGTGAAAGTTAACCAACCAACCAACCTCTCCCCCCCCCCCCTCCCCCCTAATTCTTTTCCCTTTCCCATTGCCGCCTAATCCCTCGAACCAATCCTGGTCCACCAGGACTCTCAATCATTGCACGAGAGGGGGCGGGTCTATTGCATTGAATTGGCAGATAAGAAAGGTTAACTTTGAATGGGCCAGATAACATCTGGACTGTCACGGATGGTTTAGAGAAAGTAGGTCATCGAGAAGTCTCCGTGAAAGATAGTGATGTTTTTTTTTTTTGGTCAATTGACTGTCTCGTGGGTATTTGTGTGAGTGTGTGTGTGTGTGTGTGTGGGTGTGTGTGTCTGTTTGGGTGTGTGTGTGTGTGAGAGTAAGCATGTGTTTGTGTGTGTGTGTGTGTGTGTGTGTGTGTGTGTGAATGGCGTGTGTGTGTCCTTTTTGTGTGAGTGTGTATGTGTGCGTTAGCACGCGCGAGAGTGTGTGTGTTGTTGTTGCTAGTGTTTGTTATTTAGGATTATGGGATTATATAAAAGTAATCTAAGCTCTCATTGGGGAAACAAAGGCGGATGAAGGAAGAGGAGGGGATTGATTAAAAAAACAGAGAGAGTAAAGGAAGGAGAAGAACTGGGGGGGGGGGGTCCTTTCCACCTAGCAACGGATTCTGTGTGTATGTGTGGGGGGGTGGGGGTGCGTATGTGTGTGTGTGGGGGGGGGTGTCTCATCTCTTTAGCTACCTCGAACCCAACCCTCCCCCCCCCCACCCCGCTTCCCATTTTCACAGGAAGAAAAGTCTTAGGTCATATTCACGTTTCCCAGCCCATCTATTCACTGGTTGACCTTTCATTCATGCTTTCTCAGACTGTTCTACATCAGAGGGGTGTCACGTTGTCGTGCCTCCAATTACATCAGCGCCGACGTTGCGCTTTCATCAGCCATTTCTAATAGCCCATTTATTTTTCTTTAAAATAAAAATGCATTTATTTAGCAAATGAATTAAACTGTAGTTCAATTTGTGTATTATTTTACTCTATAACAATTGTTACCACTGACCGGCCACGCCGCCTCACAAAAACGGGGATTCTCGTTTGAGCTATAAGGCCTTATAGCTGGAGATGGCCGTGCTTTAGTATACTAGATTATGACAAGCACAAACGAACACAATTTCACAGTTGCCGGACGCCCCCATGAAACTTACGTGAGTACCTTCCTGGCTGAAAATCACTGTTCTAGGTAATGGTTTGGAGTGTACAGCTATGGAAGGAATGCTGTCTGAAAGATGGATGAGGCAGGGATTGACCAGCTTCACCGTGGACACGGAAAACCAAGAACACCTGGTCTGTCCGTCCGTCCGTCTGTTCACTTATTTAAACCAAACACACACAAAAATCGATCACGTTCAACTTACTGCCCGCAGTTGCGGCTATAAATGTGGCCTGGTTTCATTGTGCCAAAAATGTTCTCTCCGAAGTTCTAATTGCACCAGAACGAATGAATGTTGAATTAGAAATCGACATCACAGCAGTTGGGACACCCCCATAAACGCTCCGTCCTCATCTTCAGCAGCAAGCGAAGAGTTGTAATTCTGACTGTACCAGTAACTGTCTGATTGTATATCCATCTCGCCCTTCCCCTGAGTGTCGGCCATATTTCCTTGTAACTCCTTCCAGTGCCATTCTCCTCAGACCGTAATGATCTATATGTTCCTCGGCACTGTTCACTCGCTCCCAAAGGGCCCTCACAACACCCAGCTTGTCATATTAGTTCATCACCAAGTGGTGCAGAACCGGCCAGTTTATCTGCTTGCACATTTCTTAACACACCGTCATATTCTAGAGAAAATATCCAAAGGATGCTAACTACCCGGGACCTTTGAAGTGATACTTGCCACTCTGCACGGAACATGCCTGTCTCAGCAACGTCTAAGCCACAAATTCCCCGTACAAACACATAAACACATTTCCGTCCAAAGAGACACCTTTTTCTCATATTTTTTAAAACCCGCACTAAAATATTTAATGCGGGCATATTC